GCGCCGCCGCCGGCCGGCCGGTCCAGGCCGCAGCAGCCAGGGCCGACCCCGGGCGCCGTCTGACCGCATGATTAATGGCCGGTCCAGTAATCGCGGCGCGCTGCAATCGGCACCGGGCGGGCCCCTTGCCGTCTGCGCTCGCCGGCCGCGGGCGGCCGCATGCAATATGGCTAAAATGGTTGGCAATTTGGAGCGTTGTATTTCACTGTTATTTATCCCCTAAAGTATCGTAAGCCGGCGGCGGTCTGTATGGCCGAAGTTGGAAGTGGGCCTGCCCGGCGGCGGCAGCTGCAGCCAAACTTGGCGTCCGCCACAGTAAAGGAATAACTAATGAAGCGTTTCGCACGGGGCTAATTAGGCACCAGACTGAAAAGAGCCACGCGGCCGCCGGAATCGACGGAAGTTATTGTCCAACTTAATGACAGTTCAAAAGCTGTGAATGCCCAGAATCGTTACAACTTTTCACATCGATCAGGCCCGGTGAGCAGCACGGGCGGGCCTGACGAGCCGCCGACCCGTCGGCCGCCGGCGCGGGGTCCCCTATACCCCCCCCCCCCCCCCCCATCGCGCCCCACCCCCGGTTCTAAGCCCTGCAATTAAAGCCGACACAAGCTACAGCGCCATGTTTCCACGTCAAAATGTCGTGGCCGGCTTAAAAAAACACGGGATTCCTTGCAGGATAATTGCCAAGAGGTCGCCCCAAACCGGTACTGCTGTCCTTCGCGTCGGGTTTGCACGAAAAAATCCGCGATTCTTTGCAGCCGCCGGCTCGTCCGGCGCCATTCAGATTCGGTTTGACTAACGATACCATGAAGCCCACGGGAGTGTGAGCAGGGCAGCTACTTTAAGCGGTAAACGCAACGCTCCAGGCCAGGCCGCGCCACCCGCTGTTGCCAGATGGTGCTGGACTGAGCCCGAGCTGATCCAACACGGCCTGAGACGGCGCCGAGTCCGAGCCGATCCGTCTGCTCACGACACAGGCGCTGGGGCTGTGCCGAATCCATCTCCATCCCCCTCAGGCCGCAGCTGTCCCGATCCGGCGGGCAGCTCAGCACCTGGCGCTGGTGCTGAGCTGAACCGCGGCCAGTGCGCCGGGCGGCGCGCGGCCGGCGGCGGCCGGTGCAGCCGCCAGCCCTCTCTCGGCGCCGCATTAAAAACCGGACCAACTCGCGCCGTGTCGTCAGCATTAGGCCTTTGAATCAAGCTAATGGGCGGGCGGGCGGCCGGGCGCCCAGAGCCTCCAGCCGCTCGCTTTCTCGCGCATAACAATGAAACGGCCGGCGCGGCCGGGCACGTGCTGGCCGGCCACTGAAGCATGCGCCGCCATTACACTCTGGAACATTTCTATTTAATCTTGATTACGGACGCCGCTCGCAAAAGTGCCCAGCCATCGCCCGCCAAGAAGCGCCAAGCTGTGAGTCTAAATCACACCGTTACGAAGCAGTCGGGCTAATTGTTGTTGCGCAGTGCAACGGCGCGGGCCGCTCGGGCCGCGTGTCCAGCTGCAGCGGTCACCGCCGGGGGGCGCCGCGCCAGCCGGCCCGGTATGCGGGCACAGGGATGCGGGTAGTGCCTCCCCCCCCCCCCCCCCTCCTGTCGGCTCCCCGGGGTGGCAGTTAGCCGGCATCGGCTGGCCTCGTCAGCGGCCCGCTGCACCCGCCACCTCATCTTAATGGAAAATGACAATTAGCTCTGAAGAGGGACAATCTGTAGGGAGTGCGGGCCGCCGCTGACGGCCCATCCATCTGCCGGCGGGCCGGCCGGGCGGCGGTGCCGACGCCCACACACGCGCCGCCCGCGACTCGCCACAAAAGACGACTTTCCGTCCATTTTTACCAGAGGAATCTGGCCGAACGTGACCGGCGTGCCGATGCGCACCGCTGCCTTGGAGAGTCCAAATATCTCACATTGTGATAAATACTGGGACCGGCGGACCTCCGGGACCGCGGCGCCGCTACGTGCCCGCGTTTCCCGACGAGTCGCTTTCAAAAGTCGGGTGCCCCCCCCCCCCCCCGCCGCCGCCGCTGCCAGCCGGCGGGCGCCATCGCGTCACTTGGCGTGGTTCGCCTGCCAAGACAGCCGGAGCATTATGTAAAACAAGTCGGCGCTGTGGGACGCTGCACGCCGGCCGCGGCCGGCGCGGGCGCGCTTTTTGCCCCCACCGCAACTGGCCTGCGACAGATTTCGTCAACTTGTCGCCGACGAGCACGAGCCACCGGCGCGCGCCGGCCATACCGGGGGGGTGGCGTCCGAGGCCGGCGCCAGCGGCCGCCGCGGGCGTCAGCCGGCGCCCGTCCCGTGTCCCGCTCTACCTGGCCGGTCGACCTGCCAAATTAGCCAGCTCCTCGGGAGTTCTTGAGCGGGCTTATGGCCGGATTTCGGACGCGAGCACTATTAAGCCCTTTCAGGTAATCAGGTCCGCGCGACCGGGAGGCTCGCTGCGCTAAAAGGGGTCCTGGTGGGGATAATGCGCGCACAATGTGCCCATTGTCTGGTGGGGTAAACGGAGCGGGCGGCGGCGGCGGCGGGGAGCGGTGACATGTCGCGGCCCCGCGCCCGTCCCGCCGGCGCCGGCCAAGGTTCCCTCCCGGCCGGCGGTGACACACGGCTGGCGTTCGCGCGAGGGTCACCCGGCCGCGGCCGTCGCCAGTCGCGGAAATTCCTCATGAATTTCTCAGCGAGGTCCACCGCCGGTCTTCCTATCTACGCGCCGGTCGGCCGCACACTTCGCCGAAAATGAATCGCACATCAAAGTTGGCCTGTAGCGCGCCGCGCACGATCGCCACAAAGCCGAGTACGTCATGTTTCCATTTGACTAATTGCAAAAATATGCTGGCGGTCGTCTTTATCGGTCAGCCGCATTAGGAAGAAGACAGCCGGCGGTCGTAGCGCCGCCGGGCCACCCGCGAACGGGGCAGTCGGCCGCGTCGACCCCGAATTAAACAGGAGCCCCGTAGTAGAGCCCATTTCCCAGCAGCACTGCAAACAGTAGCCGAGCGCGCCGACGAAACTGTTTGGTCTTTTTGCCGGTTTCCATGCTGGAAGTCCGTCGCGGCAAAAACGCGTCTAATCTGGCAAAATGCGCTCACCGGTCCGGATTGCATGTCTGTGAAATTACGTGGCCGGGGTTTTGCGCGGGTTTAATCGGGCGCCGGCCCGGCCGGCTCCACCCTCGGCCGGGCCACGCTGCTCCCAGCGGCTCAGGCTCAGGCTCAGCGGCCGCCAGGTATGTGGCGCCGCCGTCCCGGATTTACGGAAACGCCGCGGCCTCCAGCGGCGCGGCGCCGCCGCCGCGGCCGGCGTCGCGACAGAGCCCGTCCTGTCCCCTGCCGCTCATCCTCAACCGGCGCGGCCGCGTCGAGACGGCAGGGGCGGCCGCGGCGCCGGGCGCCGCTCGAGCGGAGCCGAGCCGGCCGGGCTGAGCGGGGCCCGGCCGAGCACCGAGTCAGGCTGAGCGCCGAGTCGGCCTGAGCACCGAGTCAGGCCGAGCACCGAGTCAGACTGAGCACCGAGTCGGGTCGAGCACCGAGTTGGGTTGAGCACCGAGTCAGGCTGAGCACCGAGTCGGGTCGAGCACCGAGTCTGGCCGAGCACCGAGTCGGGTCGAGCACCGAGTCTGGCCGAGCACCGAGTCGGGTCGGGCGCTGCGCCGTCGCCTGCGAGCTCGTAGCAAACGACAGGCCGACCCCACGGCGCGCTGTTGTCGGGTTGCAAAACGCGATATTTCAGTGTCACGGAGAGCGCGATAAATCTGGTTGCTATTGAAGTGTAAACGCTGCGAAAGTAAATGAATGGCTAACCGAAGCCCGCGCTGTCGACTCGTTGCAGTAATGAGTTGCAGCGCGGTGTTGTTCAGTGTTATTGCGCCGATTATCTTACAAGTGGCCCATTATCAGCCCGGCCCAGAAATAAATTAACATTTCTAGCAATAACGTTTCCTCGCCGTAATAATTCACGCAAATGCCCGAGTTATGGGCATGCAGGCAAAGGGCGAGTTGGGTTAACCCGGCTGTTATTGAAAAAATTATGCGGCCGCGGTCGACGCCGCTGATCGGGTTAATGGCCGCCCGGTAGCCGCAGCGTCGCTCCCTATGGCCGCCAGGTCGGACCGCACGCGCCAAGATCGTATCGGCGTCGCCTCGCGCGGTTGCGTCAACCGGGCAGAAGCGGCGCGGCGCGGCGGCCGGCCGGCGGCACCCGCGCGACGCGCGCCCGGCAGCGCCGCGCGTCGATGGCTTTCTTTGCGCGGGCTCCCGATGACCGCGATTGCACTATCTGTGTTCGGATCGGCTGCCGAGCGCTCTGAGAACAAATAGGGGGCCCATCTGATAGCGCGAAGAAAAGATGGACGAGAATATAACGGGGCGCTGAGGGATTGTTCGACGGCGCCAGATGGCGCCGCGCGCGTCGCCCGCCAGCCGCGCCGCGACGGCCGCCGCGCGCCAGATTTTGGCGCGGCGCCGCCAAATTTACGAGAGCAGTCATCTGAGCAGTCGTAAATCCATCGACGCGCGGCGTTGTCACAGGCGCATTAGAAAGTATATTACTAGTCGCAGCTGTCCGCGTGCCGGCAGCGGCTGCATAGTAAACGCGCGCTCGGCCAGCGCGCCGCGCTGCCGGTCGTGGGGCGGCGGCGGCGCGCGGCGCGGATTACGCTGACCGACGGCCGGAAAATCGGCACCGACGCAACGGCGATACGGCCGATATCGAGCCGTCGCGTTCGACGCGGGAACGGCGACAGGAGACGCAGAGGCGGCGCGACGATAACGGCAGGGTGCGCTTCCAAACCGGACCGATTTACATCGCTAACGACCCTTGACGACGAGAGGGGCAGGCCAAATCGCCGTGGGGTACATCGAAATGTCTGTCCATCGAGTGGCTTTCCCATCAGTCCAGCGGCGCGGCACGGGCGCCGTGCAACGATGCAGTTTGTGCGCCCGTTGAACCCAAACCACCACCACTGGCGGCGCGTAGGCCCCGCGAGAGACGCTCGTACTCACGTTGTGCAGTTTGTAGTAGAGGCCGCAGGCGTTGCAGACGGGCTCGCCCTGGCCGTTGCGCCGCCACAGCGTCGTCGTCGACGTCTTGCAGTTGGAGCACGTGGTGCCCGCTCTCCGCGACGCCGACTGTCGGGCGAAGAGCAGGGCTCAGCGAACAGGCGGCAAGATTACATTGCCCGCGGCGACCCATCGCAGTCGGTAGCTTCTGTTTTCACTCGCGCCAAATTAAACCCACCCTCGATCCGATCACGGCCGGCAGTCGCGCCAAAAATGGATTCTGCAGTGGAGCGGGATGGAACGAGCGGCGGCGGGCGCTATCTCCCGAGCCGGCGATCCGGCCGGCTTATCTGGCAGGGGCGCGGTCTCGCCGAGCGCCCCCGACACGACGAGTCGGGCTTCAAACAGCGACGGGCGGCGGCAAGGACAACTGGCAATCGATGGCCGTCGGGATCAATTCCCGTCCATCGGTCGGCACGGGAGCTGTATGCAGCGGCAATCAGCTGGCTTAATCACGGACCCACCGCCACACTTGTATAATGTATAAATGCCACGCCTAGCGTTTTGCACCGGCGCCGGCATTCCTAAATAACGCAGGCATGATTAATTAAACGGGGGGATCACTATTTATTGTTTGGCCGGCGTTCGCATTAGCCGTGCCGTCTCGTTACACGCTGATGAATTACGACCGCGTGCATTTATCTCATCAGCAGCGTCCTGGAGCTGCCCGTGACGTCACCCGCCTATCGGGCGGCCGGCCGGTAAACAAAAGCCTTCCGCGGTGCTCCATGGTCGGCGCGTGGTCGGCTTTGTGGGCCGCCGCCGGGGAGCCGGCGACTCCCGCAGCGGCAGCGTGACAGGGCAGCGGTGGGCGGCCGCCGCCCGCCGCCGCCGCCGCCCACCGCCCACCGCCTACCGCCGCCGCCGCCGCCGCCGTCGCCGCTCCCGGAGCGCGCGCCCCCATTCAATCAGAGCAATATTGCGGTAATGCGGGGAGAGCGGGCGGCCGGCGGCCGGTAGCCGCCTCCCACACGGCGAGCACAGCGAGCTCGCTCGACCGGCATAAACTTCCCGGTTATGGATAGCGAATGGTTCCATGAATAATTCCATGCATAATTGGGCTGGCGGCGGCCGCGGGGAGCGGGTTTCCTGGCGGCGCGGCGCCGGCCGGCGCGCCGATTGATACGTATTACACGCGCCATCGCGTTAAAGTCGGGTAGTGGACGCTCTCATGTTTTATTCTGGGCCGGCACAGCCGAGTAGCTTTCTGTGCACGAGGGTGTGATGTTTAGCATACAATGGCGATGTTCCTTGGAATCCGAATAAAAATTCAAATGGCCTCACGCAGGATCCGAAGCAGGCGGAGTGAAATTCGATTACGGGCGTGTGGGCAGAATGAAAAACCGCTGCCGGATAAAGGTGGCATCGTTACATAATGGCGCGGCTAAAACAGCATTGTCGACTAAACAGAAGACCAGCTGAATGCAAGGACACGGACTCGCCAGTCCGCCCGCCATTATACCGCTGCTCTTATTGTTGAAAATACGACAAAACAAAAACACAATTACAATTCAGGATGCTACGAGGGGGCGGCAAAAAGACCGCAGCGCAAAAAGACCCGGTTAGCCGACCGAAAAACACCTGATGGACAGTTGAAGACCGAGGTATGGTAATAAAACGAGCCGGCACTGCCACGGGCGCGGTAAAAAGGCGCGGCGGTGGCCGGCCGTCTCGTTAGCCGGCAGCGCCGCCGCCTTTCGTTAGCCGCCGCTGCAGGTCACCGCATTGTCCGCGCGCATCACCATTGCAAGTGCGAATGCCGCGCATCGTGGCGGCTCGGGTCGCTTCGCGCCGCGCCCGCCGCCGCGCCTGAGGTCGCGGCCGGCCCGGCTCCAGCCGCCAGGTATTTCCGCGGGCGACAGCGCGAGAGGCCAGGCGGCCGGCCGGCTCCCAGTAAGGCCCGGCGCGCCGCTAGTCTGCAGCCACGGTCGCAGCGGCCTCTTCAGGCATTTCCCAGCGTCGCCGCCGTGTATCAGCGGCGAGGGCGGCGCGCCGAGACCGAGCCCGGGCCGGCATTTCCGACCGCGCCGGCGACTGCGGCGGCGGCTCGCTTCCTCGTCGGCCGGTCGCCGGGCCGCGCGGCAGTCAATGGGCCGACGGGCGCCGCTAATCCGACGGTCACGTGCACCGGCTGTATCTGCAGCTGCCGGCGCCAGCGGCTGGCGCGCATTTTTTGCCACTACCGGAAAATCGGGCCGCGGCTAATGAGGCGCCTCCCGCGCCGCTGGGAACTCGGCGAAAAACGGGCCGGCGCCTTCGTGTGGCGACCCGGCACCGCGACCGGCCCACCGTTCGGCCGGTCAACCGGCCCGCGGACCCGGCAGACGGTGCACTACAAACCGGCACACGGTCTCCGCGCCGCTTTGGTGCCTCGACATCACGGACCCCGCCACCGTGGCACACTGGCAAACCGGTACACCAGCGGCCCCCCACCGGCAACACACCGGAGCTGTCCGAGCGTCTCCCGGCCGGCCGGACGAGTTGACCTTGCACCGTTCCCCGCCACCGCCGTCGCGGCTGCCGGCGCGGGGGCCTCACCGGCAGCCGTGAAATGCGCCGACACAATGCGCGCGACGGAGGCGCGACTGCCGAGTGCCGGTCGTCTCTCGCCGGCTTCTTGCGCGCTGTTTTTGCCGGCCGGCTAAAGTGTCCAAGGTCCCGCGCGGAGCGCGCGCCGCCGGTCTGTCCCGACCGCCCGCATGTGACGGCCAACCGGCCACGCCGTGGGGAGGGGAGGGGGGGGGGGCGTGCAGCGGGCGTGCAGTGCGGACGGGCGGCGCACCTGCCCCCTCCCCTCCCGGCGGCGCTTCTGGACGGCCGGCTGCGACCGTCGGACCGCGGCGGGCGCCACGATCGACGGCGGACGAGCTGCGCCGCTTCAGCCGCCGACGGCCGGCAGCTGCAGCCCGGCGGCGGAGGCAGTGGCCCGGGCGCACCCGGCGACCCCCGCAGACCGTTGCCGCCGGCTGCACGAGCGTGATCCGCGAGCTTAATTAAAATCTCCGCGACTTGTGTGCTACGGGCGCGCGCGTTCATTTTTCGCTCGTGAGCCCGGCCAGACGTACACAATCGTCCGGCGGTGAGATATGACGAACGTTAAGGCGGACTCCCACGGCGCCTGCGGTCTGCACGGCCGCTTATAGAGACCTCTGCAGCCGGCCGGGGACAGACGATGACGTACGAATGGGCGGCGGCGACACGCGATGGGGGCTCGCGGCGGCGGCGGCGGCGGTCGGGTGCGGCGGGCACAGGTGCGCACCACCGGCTCCGCGTCCGCGATCATCGTGAAGCCCAAATATCGACGTCGTCCTAAATATTTATGAAGCCTTCCAATCGTCCCTTTCTGGAGTTGCGAACGGATTTATATCCGACATAAAATAAAGGAGATTAAACTTGTGGAGCGGGCGGATAAATCGTCCAAGTCAAGGCCGTCACAAGACCCGAGGCGGGTGTTCGCGCGCGGAGCGGAGTCCGGTGCAGACGTGCCCAGCCCGTTCACGCCGCCCTCAACGGCGCCGTCCGTCTCTCGGACCACATGCACGCGCCTGTGCCTCCCGCTGACCAGCGGCCGTCTCCTCCCGACGGAGCACCAGAGTTCCGGCCGCCACCGCTGGTGAGGCGGGGGGACGGCACCAAACCGTACCGCGGCGCGTCCCCAGACTCCCGTCCGGGGCTGGCCAAAACTGGATTCCACAACTGCAGCCATGGCCTCGCCGTCATCCGGACCGCCTGCCCGCTCCAGACCGGCGCGAGCACAGACCTGCCTGGGCCCGGCCGACCGGCGGCCGGCGGCGGCCGCGTCCTCGCCGACCCGGGACGGCGGTCCCGGTCCCAGTCGGTCCGCGCGCCGGCCGGAGGCTGCTCCGTGCAGGGGCCGGCCGCCGCGGCCGCGGCCGTACGTCAGCTCACGACCGCCGGCATAACTCAGCACGGCCAGAATTAGCGGGGATTCGCATGCAGGCCGGCCGCCGGCCGCCGCGCGGCGCCGGCAGCCGCGACCGCGGCCGCGCCGCCGATCGGAAGCCGCACCACGCCCGCCACCGCCGCGGCGCGCTCGCCGCCGCCGCGCCGCGCTCGTCTCGGCGGCGCAGCGGCGTTACCCGCCGGGCGCCTTATCGCGCCGTCCGATCGCCGCGCGCTAATAACCTAATGACTTCTAAAACGCAAAATCATACTTCCATTTCTGGCGGCCGCCGGCCGGCGCCGGGACGTCTCAGATTGGTTCGAATCTGTCTTGGGTGCGCCGATGTTATCGCGCGTCGCCGCCGCGTCGGCTGGCCGCCGGCCGCGACGCCGCGCCGTCGCGACCTACCGGCGGTCAGGAACAAAGCCGATAGCATCAGCGCCGGCGGCGGCGGCGGGGGCGGCGCGTGCCCCGCCCCGGCGCCCCGGCACGGGCACAACAGCGCCGGCTGGCGCCCGAGCGACCCCGCGAGCCGCGACAGTCGCGACTGCGCCCCCCTGCGCGGTGCCACCCCTTGGCCGACCCCTGCCAGCGGTGGCGCCGCCGCTGTCCGGCCGGTGCCGGCGTGCTCCGCCTCTTTCCGGGGAGCAGGGACGGCCCGCCCTGCCCGCGCACACGGCCGCAGGTCGAGCCGGGCCGCATTCGGCGCTGGGTGCAGCTCCTCACTTCGGCGGCACACGCTCTCTCGGTCCCTGGCAGCGGCAGCCCGGCCGGCCGCGGGCATGGGCCGGGCCTGTACGAGCTGGAGCTGGCTGTGCCGGCTGTGCTCCGCTCTCATGGCCAGGCCCGCCACCCCCGAACCGACCCGGGAGGAAGGCGCCGGCCACGAATTATTGTATGAATCGAGCAGTTATTGCCGTGCGGCCGGCCGGCCCGTTAATTATGTTTTCATATATCATCGGCTAATATCCTATCGGGGTATGGCTTTATTATCGGCATCCAAGTGGTCCGGAGAAAAACGGCCGGTCCCTGTGTGTAAAATGTGGCGCGCGCGCTGCCAGCCGGCGTCACGTTGGCCGCAGCCGTTATACCGTGAGCGGCATGAGACGCTTATAAACCGATCTCTCGGTCCAGGGTAATCGCGCTTTGCTCTGCTTTCAATGGCTTCATAAGTAGCCCCCTCGCGTGGAGAGGAGCCATCGTGGCCATCGATAATTACACACCGAAGACTAACACTAAAGTTCGTAATGGCACGGCGGTCGACCCGCCTGTTTAGTGTAATGTACGGTGTCGGTGGGCGCGGGAGAAACCGCTGATGGCCCGGCGATAAAATGTTTTGCAAGGCTGCCACTCACCATGCGCTGCTTGGGCTTGGTCAGCGGCCGGTTCTGGCCGTTCATCTTGTAGTAGAGTCCGCAGGCGTTGCAGAGGTAGTGGCCGTTGCCGTCGCGCCGCCAGAGCGGGGTCGATGTCGCGCCGCAGTTGACACATTCTCGGCCCTCTGCAAGGCGGTGGCGCGAGCGTGAGTGACTGCCATTCTGCACGGCTGCGGTAACCGGAGCGGTCCGGCGCTCTTTAGGGCGCACACAAACGACGGCGGCTATTCATCGCCGCCGGCCGGCCGGCCTCGGGCGCGCGGATCGATTCGAGAGCGAACATTGTTAGCGGACATTACGGCCAATCATAAACAGTACCGGTCCGGGCGGCGACCGACGCGGCGTCATAAAGTGACCAGAGCCGCGATTAGTTACGTCGACATGCGTTGGCTCCGTCCGGCAATCAGCTAAGTAGCTCGCCGGCAGTTAGGCGATGTGCACGGACATGCTGCAGGTCCATTCGCCGCGCGAGAGTCTTTCCCCGGTCATCGACAGACAGTACAGACCTCATTTTCGCCTCGTAAAATCCGCGGGGCGGGGCGGGCCCGGCTCGGCTCGGCGGCGCTGCCACGCGGCCGCGGTCGGCCGCAGGTACGCGAGCCGCCGCGGTTCGCGAGGTGGACGGCGAGGGCGCCGGCGCCGGGCTGCGGACGGCGCCGGCGCCGCGGCGCGGACGGCGCCGCTGAGTTACCGGCCCGCCTGACAGCCGACACCCCGCACGCGCATTTCGCGCGGCCGGAACGCCACGACGCCGGCGTCGCGAACGTCGCGCCGCCCCTAATTATGATTGACGAGCTGCGCTATCGGGACGGAAATAACATTTTTGTAGCGCGGCAAGCGCGGCGCTTTTTGCTCCGCGTGCCGCATCTGCGCACGGTTTGCCGCGGCGAGGGGAAACGCAGCAAGTCCGTTCCCGGTAGATAAATCAGCGGCCATGGGACGTGCAAACTCGCATGCTGCACATAATTAAAGCCGGTCCAAAGATGGATGGCGCGTCTGCCGAGATGCCATCGCCAATTCTGCGGTGGTCATGGCGCGCGAGCCCGGTGACCACGTCTAATCGCCACGGCCGGCGAGCCGCATCAGATACGCGCACCGACTCGATCCGCCCGGCCGTCTCCACTATTTATGACGGACGATTGCAGCAAAAAGACGCGGACCACAACGAATGGCCTATTGATTGTTTTAGACGAGATATGGCGCACCGATGCGTGAAGCGCCGGCCGAGCGTGAAGCGGCGCGGGCGGCGAGCGCGGCGCCCGTTGGCGGCGAGCACGGCGCACGTCGGCGGCGAGCGCGGCGCGGCCGCTGGTCGGGCGCCGGAGCCGTCGGTTCCAAGCGAACAGGCACGGAGCGGGGCTGCACCGGACCCGGCCGGCCGGCCGGCGCAGCTGGCGTCGCCGCTGTCACCGGCCGACGGCGGCCGGGCCCCTCGCTGATGTACTAATGGGTCATGCGCCCAGCCGTGGGCCCGATGTCACCAACGGTACCGCGGGTCGTTACGCACGGACAGCGGTCACCAGGTGTCGCCGGCCTCACCATCACCGAGCGTTAGCAGGCAGTCACCGGGAGAGTTACCGTCACCACTGACTGCGAACCGTCACCAGGCGTTGTCCACTCTCACCATTCCGTATTAACACTGGCACCGGGAGTTACCAACCGTCACCAGGCGCCATCCGCAGCCAGCGGTTCTTACTCACCGTCTGCGGGCACTATAAGCCATCACCGGTCATTGCTCACCGTCACCAGCTGTACCCACCGTCACCAGTCCTCTCTCGCTGTCACCAGCATGCGTCCCGCGCGTCGTCCGGCCGCCACCCGCCGTCACCAGCACCACCACCACCGGCTGCACCACAGCCAGCCCTGCTCTTACCGGCCGAGGAGCGCGACTTCTGCTTGGGTCGCGGCGGCGACATGGCCGGCTTGGGGCCGAACTGGCCCGGGTAGGGGGAGGCGAAGCCGGCGGCCGGCGCGCCTGGCTCGCCCGGCCCGCTGGCCTGCGAGTAGACGGGCGCGAACGGCGGCGACTGGCTCTGCGTCGGCGTACCTTCGCGCGCCTTAGCCGGCCCGCCACTCAGCACCGGCTTGATGTCGAGCGTCTCAGAGGTGGGCAGCACCTGCTGCGCGTGCTGCGACTGGTGCTGCTGCTGCTGCTGCTGGTGATGGTGATGCTGCTGCTGCTGGTGCTGCTGTTGCTGCTGCTGTTGCTGCTGTTGCTGCTGTTGTTGCTGCTGCTGCTGCTGGGCGTAGTCGACGGCGGCGGCGGCGCTGGTGGAGGCGGCGGCCTCGGCACCGGCGTCCTTGGGCGGCGTCGGCGGGAAGGAGAAGAGGTGCGGACTCGACGTCGGGATGATGGGGTGGTTCTGGACGGCGCGCGACGCCAGCGGCGAGTACCACGAGCCGGCCGGCATCATCGGGTGCAGGTGCGACGGGAAGTGCGCCATCCGAGCTGCCGGACACCACACAGTCAGCGTCAGGAACTGCCAGCACGCCTCGGAGACACACACGCCAGGCACGCCGGCTTATGACAGTGGCGAGGCACCCAGCATACCTATGGCGGTGAAACTCAGAGCCTCGCACCAAACAGAACGCGGCGGCGACCAACACAGCCCGAAACGCTTCTGGCCCGGTCCCGGGGATGGGTGGACGCCGCGCGCTCTCCGCGCCCGCCGAGCGCGCGGCCGAGCCCGCCCGGCCGCGCCGCGCCATGCGCGCTATTCGCGGCATCCGCGCGCCGCTCCTAAACAAATTGTCCCATCTCATTTGCGGCCGGCCGGTCGGGTTGTCGCCGGGCGCGCGCCGCCCGCCGCCGGCCGAACCGTAATGGAGCGCGCCCCGCCGCTCCATATAACCGGAGGAGGCACGTAAACAAGAGCGCGGCGCGCGGCCGGCGCCGAAGACGGAGAGAGAGTGGCGCTGTCGGCCGATGATTTATCGTGTACTACTGAATGCCGAAGCGCATAACGAGCCGGTCACCCGCGCGTAATTGTAGCGCAAACACGCCGGCCGCGCGGCCCTCTCGTTAGCCGCCGACAATGGCTGCACGGCCGCCCGGCCTGTGTAAACATTGGCGGCGCGCCACGCCGGCCCTCGGCCGCGCCGGGTACGCCGCTGCGACGCTCCCGCCGCGGCCGGCGCCCGCCACCGCGCGCTGATGCGACGGCGGTGCTGGGTCGGCTGCGGCGCGGCCTGGCTCAGCGCTCCCGTACGCTCCTGGCGGCCTTTCGTGCAGAAGCTGATGCCGAGTTTCGTCTGTGATCTGAACGGAGCTTCCACGCGTAAGCGTAAGATCGCGTAAGATCGCCACCTGCCAAGCCCCACAATGGAACCCACCATCAGGCGGTGCGAGCCGACGAGAACAAATTGCGTTTCGGAGCCAATACGGCTCCATCCTTAGTGGAAGCTGTTATTAATCTAAGGCCCATCCATAACGGCCGCGCGAGACAAGCCGGGGGTGTTTTCCTACTCGAGCATCACTTTGCGCTTGTTTCCAGTAGCGTCATGTATATTCATACGCGGCTGGGTTCTAATACGTACAAATGACGGCGCACGCCCGGCCTGTCCGTAACAGGAGCGTCTCGATGCGTCAAAATGGCTGTCCGGCAAATTGGAACGAGTCGTGGCTGCCGGCCAAGAGCATCAGTCACACTCGAGGAGGGCGCGCAGCCTCCTCCCCAGCATGGGGGGGGGGGCACAGCGTCCCGCGCGCGACCGGCGAGGAAGTCCCGTCCAGTCAGGCAGCGCACATGTTACGTGACGCGGTCTGACACGGCCAGTGTCCAGAGACAACGTTGCTAGAGGATGTGCGAACCCGCAGTTATGCCCTGAAGAACGGGACCGTGCGTGCCTCAACGTTTGCACTGGCTTAAATAAACACGGACCAGCGAACTGATTGCTTGCTGGGTTGTTTATTCGTACACGTAGTGTTGCAAATACACTCAAAGATAGCATGCCGACAAAGGGAGGACTTTAGGCCGAGTTTCTCCTATACCGTGGGCTAGGCTCGGTGCCCAATGTATGACGGTGACGTCGGCGGCGGCGCTGCGGCAGGTCAGCTGAGCGCCTTCTCGGGGGGCCAGGTGGCCGACCTCACGCCGGCGCCAGGTGAGTGACCCCATATGGGGGCCAGGTGAGCGACCTCACAGCTGGACCGGGGTCGGGGCGGGGAGGGGGGCAGGTGAGAGCTTCACAAGGACCGGCGGCAGTAGAGCAGGCCCTCCTCACAGCGAGCCAGGTGTCGATTCAGCTGGCCAGCCAGAGGAGTGCCTGCGTCCGTCTGTCCGTCCGCTCGTCCGTCCGTCCGTCCGTCCGTCCGTCCGTCCGTCCGTCTGTTCGTCCGTCTGTCGGCCGGTCTCGGGTCCGGCCCCGTCATAAATATCGGCGCCGTCCGGAGCCAGCCGGCGGCGGCGGTGGCGGCGGCGGCCGAGTGGACCGTCAGGGGCACCGCCCCGCGCCGCCCCGGTAAGTGCTCCACTATTTGAATTGGTAATCGCCGAGCGAGGTGTGAGGAGAGAGGAGGCGGCCGCCGGACCGACGGTGCGGCGGGGCTTTGAGGCCGGCGGGGGGCGCTGCGGGCGGGGCGGCGGCCGGCCAGCCGCCCGCATAGCCCGCCGCGCCGCGCCGCGCCCCGACAATGCCCCCCGCCAGAGCGCCGGCCGCCGCCGCGCCGCCAGCCGACCGCCCTTGCAGGGGCAGATGGCGCAGCAGCCCCGTGCTGGCGGCGCTGGACTGCGCTGACGGCCGCGGCTTTTATGTGGTGGGGCCGATGCATCTTCAGCATGCATGACGAGTGCTTGGAATAGAACAGTCTGGTGGGGTGGAGTTAAAAAATGGGTTTACCAAATTGGCGGATCTTGATGGCGGCTCAAAATAACGACGGGGATTTTATGCGGTTTGAGATTGTAATGTCCCACGTGGCTGTCCTTGATGTCCCATGTCGTTCACACCCTTGACCTAGAGGTTATCCGTGACTGTTGCCACCGTTATCCAACCCCATGAGACGTCCGAAGCTGTAGGCCCTGACGTCCCACACTGCTGGCCCTGACGTCCCATATTGTTGGCCCTGACGTCCCACACTGCCGGCCCTGACGTTCCATATTGGTCGCCCTGACGTTCCATATTGTTGGCTCTGGCGTCCCACTATGATGGTTCTGACGTACCATGGGCGGGCGTCCCTCATGCCATAATATCATGCGCTGGTACCCTATTGTTCCTGTTTATTTAGCGTGATGTTCCAAACTCTTGGCGGTGTTGTACAGCAGTATCCAACGCTGCTAGCCGCGCTGTCTCACTCTATTATATGTGATCTCTCGACCTGCGGGCTGCGGTGCCCCTCTCGTGACGCCCCACCATGTCTCGCATGACGCTCCACGGTGGTCCACACCGACTGGCTGTGCCGCCTCACCACATCACCCCCATCACTCCCCGCGCCACGCAGTCCTCTGCGCTGGACGCGCGCGCTCTCTCGCTGTTTTCCAGCCGCGGGCGCCGGCAGCCGAGCGATGGGTGCAGGGGGCGGGACGGCCGCCCTCGGTCCGACCATGATCGATGGTCGGTGGGGGCAGGTCAGGCTCGCGCCGCCCTGGGGCGCGCGCCGACGCAGGGCGGCCTCCTCCACTCGCGCCGGCCCGGCCGCACCCAGCGTGTAATTAGTCACATTTTCTCATTAACCCGGGATTCTTCAACTGCCAGGACTCCGGCTACAAACGACGCGTAATTACAGAGCAGCACGAGGCTAAAACTAATTCAGCCGAATGCGGATTAAATAAGCTGCAATAAAAGTCAAATGGGATGTAAACATAAACAATTTGGTTAGTGATTGTGTTATTTCCTCACACTCATCAGCACTTCCTTCAGATATTCATGAGACTAGAGCCTATGCAAGTCTTCCATTCCAAACCACCAGCATCCCTTTTACGCCCTGGACTTAGGCCTCGACTCAGTTTGGCGAGGTGTCAGGCTTAACCGGCTGTTTCCCGATGGAAGCCGAGGCGATCAATGTGGCTGCTCATGCTTGTTGGACAGCACTTCGAGGACGATGCTATCGCTGAAGCGCTGACAACAGAGTGCTTCATTGAATTCAGAAGGGACAATCAATGCTACAGACGTTACTCACAGCTAGAGAGAAAGACGCCGGATTTATTTCAGTTTAAAGAGACGAGCTTCTTTGAAGAACAAAAATGTGCGTATGAGGCCCGGTATGGCGCCTAAACCAGTAAGTCTTTAAAAAATGTTGGCAGTGAAAAATGCGTCCGACGTAATCTGATTATCAAGTCATCTACTGTCACCGAAGGCATTTGTCCTCACAGCAAGTGCCAACGGGTCATACCGCACCGCTGCCGAGCACGGCTGTCAAAGGCACAGGAGTGATCAGGTGCAGCAAGGTGGTGGACAGTTTGATGACTGAGATGCGTGCCTGCTCACTGACGCGTTCGTGCTCTAGCACAACTCCAAAATTAAAGCGTTTGAACAACAAATTGGGAACTGACGGGTGCAGATGCGAAAGCATCGCAGACGATGTATTATCGTACGACAGGCGCGGATTTTGGAGCATGCAAAAGTGTTCCCCGAACGTAAGAATCTACACATGTCAATGCAAAGACCAACTTCTCATGAGGATCTCATCTTGCATTTATCTTGAACCCAAGTGTTGAATAGGATTTTGCTCCGGTCAGCTCGCTGCCAATGCAGATGACGCGTATAGCCCGTGTTGAGGCTTGTCGATGGGTAATCCATCAGCCAGAAATCTGCCTTAGAACACTCTGAAATATACATAAGGTTGTCTGACTTGGAAATGGCCACAGCCTGGGCGTACTTCGCAGCAACTGACAGCCCTGGTGCATGCATTATGATCCTCAGAATGAAAAAAACGTTACAGATTGAGTCTACTCAAGTGGAAAATGACATCCACGGGTGAAGCATAGTAATAGGATTGAGGGGGGGGGGGGGAGGCTGAGCAAGGAAAAGTAACTTAAGCCTGTCCCTCAAATGAAGGGGGAACAGGCTTCTCCTCGGATTTAGCTGACTTTCTACTCAGAGTTTGGGGGGAGGCCACAGCCTCCTAACTCAGTGGGAAATATCACCACTAGCCGAAATTAATCAACTTGATTCGTCAATAGAATCGCATCTTTGTCATTTCATCGTATAGATGCAACAAGGAGACCCCGAGACATCGCAATGTTTTGGATTACAC